AATTACTTTCATTTTCTTTAGATTTAAATCATCATCAGCATTAATATAAACATCGATATCAATTTCATTATAAAGTCTGGAAGTATGTTGAGTTTTAATATTCAGTATTTCTTCTGTTTGTTTAGGGATACAAATCAGAATGGACAAAAATCTCAAGACTCAACATATCGTTAATTTTGCAAAGTAATCTTTTTTCACAGATACAAGTTCACATGAATATAAACATGAAGATGAGTAGAGATATCAGTAGGAATTCTACAAGTTAGCTGAATTTTATAAACTGCTATTTCTTCTTTATTTATTATAGGCTTTAATCAAACTCAATATCAGTATGCGTATCAACATCAGCATCAACGTCGATATTGAAATCAGGTTTAAAAGTAGTTTAAATGCCACAAACTCTGATTTTTCTTCCTTGTTGTATGCTTAAACGAAATTATCAATCATAATAAATCTGAATACTTTTTCTGAAAGCAAGTTATGTTATAACAACTAATCTTTGTTTTTTGTTTAGATTCAAATCTATCAGTCTATGTCGGTGTCAATATCAAGTTTACAAGTAAGCTAAATTGCAGAAGTTCATATATTTTTCTTTTCTATCATAGATTGATACTAACTTATGTATCGTAAGGAATATTGGTATGTTCTCTGAAGGTAGTTAAAATTATATCAGATAACTTTTCTTTTTGTTTTTAGATTCAAATCCACGGATTAATATAGGTTTAAATATCAAGTGTGGGTGCAAGATGAATTTTGGAAATAAATATTTTTTTCTTTTGAGTTTAATTGGAGGTATGGATAAATATTGGTATCAGTTCGAAGACTTGAAGTGATTTGAATACTTGAATAGAATATAGTTATATGAATTTTCTTTTATAGGTTGATGTCAATATGAATTTCAATATGGATCGTTATGTACATTGAAAGGGTGGTTTATTTTTGTGATTATACTGCTCTCAGTTGTGTTATCAATTGAAGCATTAGAGTAAGTTCTTTTCTACAATTAATAATTCTTCTTTTCTGTTGTAAGATGGTATACTCATCAAAGCAAGTTTGGACTCAACAACTTTGTGTTAGGAATAACGGAGCAATGTGATGGAAGAATAGTGGTTGCCGGAACTGCCATTCATTTCAAAATATAATCCAGTTGGTTGTGCCTTGAATCACTCGAGAACAGACCTAGCTAGAGATCCGTAAGTTTCACTGATGAAAGGAGGGACCGAAAGTAGTTTTTCCATATAGATTCCATTAGTTCATTTAAAGTTTGAGTGATCATCGAATGTTCGCATTGTTTTCGGACAATGATACGAAGCATTTTTGAGAAATAATTTTGAGGTCCAAAGAACTCGTTTGATAGAGAAGATCAAAGCTCTTTCGATCTTCGAAATACTTAAGTCCGTATGTATTTCCATTAGAAAGTTATAAATATTTTATTGAATGGTGAGGTTTTAGCAAACCAACCACATGTCAGCTTAAAATGTACTTAGACATAGGTATTCGAACTTGGCCCAAGTATAAAAAGTTTGGCTATAAATTGGATTAGTAGTCGATTGAAATAGCAGGATCTTAATTCGAGTTCATCAGATATATTTAGCCAAAATGCGGACTTATTTGATTTTCACGATTTTTTGCAATCCATTTTAATTGATTAATGCGTTCTGATCGATTAAAATAGATTCCAAAAAATCGTAAAAATTAAAAGAAATCTATCGTTGGGCTGGAGAAATTGGATTAAAATCGTGCTATTTTAATTAACTTTTTATCAAGAAAAACATAATCGTTGTAATCCAGCTTCTAGCCATTTTTTTAAATGGGTTAAATCGATTCATGATATTTGTTTTTACATTGAAATTGATGCAGCGCTGAAAACAACAAACTTTATGAAATATTGCTTTTTCGTGCCTCTTCATGGAGAATAATGAAATTCCAAAGGCCACTGTTTTAGCGCTGTATCGATTTCAATGTAAAAACAAATGTTCTAAATCAATTGTCCAAGTTCGAATATCTATGTCTAAATATATGTTAAGCTGACATGTGGTTGGTTTGCTAAAACCTCACCATTCAATAAAATATTTATAACTTTCTAATGGAAATACATACGGACTTAAGTATTTCGAAGATCAAAAGAGCTTTGGTCTTCTCTATCAAACGAGTTCTTTGGACCTCAAAATTATTTCTCAAAAATGCTTCGTATCATTGTCCGAAAACAATGCGAACATTCGATGATCACTCAAAATTTAAATGAACTAATGGAATCTATATGGAAAAACTACTTTCGGTCCCTCCTTTCATCAGTGAAACTTACGGATTTCTTGCTAGGTCTGTTCTCGAGTGATTCAAGGCACAACCAACTGGATTATATTTTGAAATGAATAGCCGTTCTTGGTCACAAAGAAGGAGTAGTACGAAACCTCTAAAGTGATTGTCAAGAAAAGGTTTTTTACTGAACTCCAAACCAACTGGATGTGAAAATGGTTTCGTAGTTATGGTTTGGTATGAAACCTTTCATATAATTTGTTGAAATGGTTCAGTGCTGATGGTTCTGCACGAAACCTATTTTTCGTATGCTTGAAAAAGGTTTTGTACGGAACCCACTGCGCGAAACCCTTTAGTTCCGAAGAGAAAAAGGTTTCGTACTAAAGCTTTGCTACGAAACCCCAACTTGAGCTTTTCTGAGTGAAGGTTCTATGCCGAACCTTTTTTATACGGAACCATAAAAAGGATCTTCCCGTGTATCAAGCGAATAAACCTTTTTTGGTTCGGTAGAAAACCTTTATTTTTTTCAGTGTACCACGAATTATCCTGTATAATTTTCGAATTTCCTGACAATTCTTATCAAGTGGCAGCGGGTTACTAACTCGTATGATCAAAATTTCGGAGTCTCGCAACAAATAGACGAAACTTCGAAGAACACTCAGAAGTATAGTAACATCTTCTACTTGTTTCGAATATTAGAAATTGTGTCTATAGAATTCAATGGTCGACACGACGCGTTTCGTCCTGACTTGGAGGAGGGTGGGTGGGGTGGGGGTGTGGAATCAAACGAAAACAGATCGACTTATATCTATCTAATACAAGTCAATCTGCTAATCCCAACTCTTGCTTTTCAGCAACCGATTATCTGTCGACTATTATTTTAAAATTAAATTAAATTATTGGCCTTGAAATAAAATAATAAAATTAATGCAGATAAATTATTTTGCCGATGCGTTTGATGTTTATTTTACTTGAAAATTAAAACACTCTTCAGGGCACTGCATTATAACAAAAATTAAACAGTAAAAGAAATAAGAAAGGCGGAAATAATAAAAAATAAAATAAAAACAATTGAAAAAATGAAATAATATATAAATCCATAAAATAATATTTTATTTGATATTTAAGAACCTGCTTTATATGATATAGGTTTTTTGTAATTGAAATATTTATAACATAGGGGTAAGGAAGATATACAATATGTAGACAATAAAATTATATTTATTATAAACATTACAGAGCTCAATATTCTAAGCATTTAAATGTTGCCAAATATTGTAAAGGCATGGTTATGGTATAATTATGATGTTGTGAGTTAAAGCAGGATAAAGATAAAATTTCACCTGTATAAGTATGAGTTATCAATTTCAATAATATTTACAGGGTGATAAATAATATTATTCAAGGGGGGTAACGCTATAATTCTGAATCGAAGATATGATGAGTTTTATGCCAAATGAAAGCCCGCGAAAAATGGGATTTAGTGATGCTAAATAGTGAGACTTCGGAGGACTTTCGTATATCAAACTCTTAAGAACAATGGAGTTTTCTTTAAAAAAAATCGTTAAAAATCATTTTTACTAAGTTTTAAAGCATTGAAAACGAAGATTTTTCTAAAAAAAGAAACAAAACTGATAATAATCACGAGATATGGCTGTGACTCAGACAATCAAATGGCTTCTTTGCGTTCTGTTGTTTGCTGCACGTGATACTAGTTATTTCAAAAATTTTCATCTCGGTCTGTTTGAAAGCGGTAGTGGTGAAAAATTGGGATGTGGGTGGGTGTGGGTGTGGGTGTGGGTGTGGGTGTGGGTGTGGGCTTGTGTGGGTGTGAGTGAAGAGATAATCCACATCAACAGCCACATCCACCCACATCCCATACCCACACCCACCCATAGACACACCGACACCCACAATCACCCACACCAAATAAACCTTGAAACATTGGAATAATTAATTTTAGTAATAAGTTTTCATGTCGATCAATTAAAAGACTATGATGAACAAGTTCTTTTTTAAATTTAGAAGATTGTTTACAAAGTAAATTTAAATTTTCTTTAATAAATAAATCACTTTCTTTTTTTTTCAATCATAAATTGTTCAAAATTATTATACTTTAATTCAAGATTAGAAAGATGATTATTTACTTCCGTGATTTTTCCTAATAAATCATCTAATTTGTTAACATAGTGCTATTCGGATTAGTTGGTAAAAATTGAGGCATATGCATAGGTGGAAAATCAGAACTTGAATATTTAAAGGTTGAGTTAATCATGCTGTTCAAGCTGTTGGTGGAGGAAAAAGTTGAACGATCATTTGAAGATAATAGTTTACGTGTTAATTCAGATCTAAATTATTTTACGACTTGGCGTTTAAGAGAATTTGACTTATGATTTTGTCTACGATGAATACATTTTTCGATTTTAGAGCAAATATGCAATTTTAAATCATTAGCACATTCACCACATGTACCACAAGTACTCTTGACCTGGGTGCATTGTTTCATGAAATGACCCAGGCCCATGCACTTAGAACAAACTAAAATATTTGCAGGCACTAAATATCCATCAATATCATAAATGATATAACCAACAGTAATTTTTCTCTTGATTAATAATTCTTCTCGTACAGCAGAAGAAGTTAATTCAAGTTTGACTAATTTAATATCATTGTTAAATTTATTTTTTAGTCTAATAACATGTTTAACTTATGGATAACGTGTTTTAATTTCTTGAGTGAATTTCTTAAAATCTAAATGAACGATCCACATTTTTGATTAGCAATGATAATTGTGGTGGAATAGAAGAAGAAGATGGAAAAGTATAATTTTCATTACCAAAGGAGATAGGCCAGTGATTTTGACCTAATAGAAAGGAAAAAGAGGAAGCATCTTTTAAGAAAAGAAGAAAATCATATTCATTGTTGAAACTTCTATTTGATAAACGACAATTTAAGAAGTTGATTTCTATTTGATATTTTAGATTACAATAATCAGTTAAACCTTCTTTAATTTGGTTCGATGCAACTTTACCAACATTGAACCTGATGATAAATGGGGGAAAGGAGTAACGTGTTTGTGCATAACGAGTAGATTCAGTAGTGATTGAAATCTGTTGTGAATGAGATGAAGGTGAAGCACCTTGAGCTTGTGGACCACCTGAGAATTGATGAATACCTTGTAATTCTTGACCATTTTGAACTGGTTGAGTACTTGGGACATGTGAAATACCTTGTACATGATGAATACTGTCCACTTGTTGAACTTCCTTACGTAGTAAACTTTTATCATGAATCGGAGTGGGTACAGAAGGTATAAAAGGTACATCAGGTTTTACACTTGTATTTGTTTGGTAATGAATACGTTTTTTCTTAACTGCAGATGTCGTAAGTTTGCGTTTGATCTTCTTGTTCTTTTTATTTTCAACTTGTTGGAATCCATCAAGAGAAACATTGGACGCAAGGCCATTTTGTATAGGTACAGTTGGTGAATCAATAATCATATTTGTTGAGACTTGAGCCAAAACCACTGAAGTTTTATTTAAACAGTTTTGTAAAATATTATTTGAAGAAGAAGTCATTTAAAATGACTCTAGTTCAACAATATTGGTAAATAATAATAATAAATAATATTTTCTTTGCACACACTCACTTAGTGCTTGAAAGAAAGAGGATGTGGGTATGGGTGTGCGTGTGCGTGTGGGTGTGGATGTGGGTTGTGAGAAGTGTCTTCACCAGTATCCACTAGGGCTGTACCGCTCACGCTCATGAGTGCTCATATGAGCATGAGCGTTTTTTCGCTGACACTCATGCTCACGTGAGGGGTGGTCGCTTACGTTCATGTGCGCTCATATGAGCGTCAGCGAAAAATCGCTCACGCTCATATGAGCGCTCATGAGCGTGAGCGGTACAGCCCTAGTATCCATACCCACACCCACATCCACATCCACACCCACACCCACCCCACACCCACACCCATCCACACCCACACCCACACCCCACACACCCACACCCTATATGAGGATATCGGCTACATGATATATATAATGATACAGCTAACCAATCACTAGTCGACGTTCTTGGACTTGTTCTTCCCAGATTCTTATTTTTCTGGAGCCTCAGACAAGATTTTTTTTACATTTATATCAGGCAAGATTCTTCTCTGAAAAAACAGATCTTGACCTTATGCAAGAATCATGTAGACCGAAGCTTGTCTGACGAGTCAAGAATCTTGTCGTCAGGCAAGATTCTTGGGTTTTTAAAATTCTTAAAGATTCATTTTTTTTCCTGATTTTCTTGCCTGATTTCTTTTTTTTTAAAATTTTCTTATTGATTCTTATTTCTTGGAATTCTTGCTTGATTCTTAAGACGTACATGTAGTCTCTACTATTCATTAAAAGACCTTTTTTTTCATTGTTATTTTACTTCCACATGAAGATCTGAACAATACGCAAAAAACAACACATACACTAGTGAAGAAGATTAAAATATATTATGAATCACAATGATTGTTATTAAAGTGATCTTTAACAGTGTCTTCACGATAAAACAGCCACTTCAAAAAATTTACCTATTTTCAATGTGATAATTATGGAAAAGATTTTCTACATATGCACAAACGCAGAAATATTAATTCAAAGACATTCATTATATATTCATTTCGAGCCTGTTTTAAGAAACTTGCTAAAATTTAATGCTATTCGACTCGATAGCGGATAACGAGACACGCCTTTTCTACTTATTTGTGTGCAGTTGTCTGTTAGATGAAATTTGTAGATTAAATAGACTGATATAATTATTAACTGCCTTCGGGTAAAAATGAACAAGTATACAGACGTTTATATATATATGATTGTAAACAGATATCACGTGGTATTCGTCTTTGAGGTCATAAAAGAATCTTTTTCTTCTCCTGTAAAAGAATCTTGACGGTAATTCAAGAAAATTCAAATTTCTTGTATTTCTTCTGATATTCTTTTTTTTTCTGATTGTTCAGACAAGGTTCTTTTCATCTTGAATGTTAGGCAAGAATCTTTTTTCTTTCCTGCGCTAAAGAATCTTGTCTGATTAACCAGGAGAAACAAGAGTCTGGAAAGAACAGGTTCAAGAATGTCGATTAGTGAATGTAATTGATCTGTTTTTAACACATAATAATTACGAGTATCTTCATATGAACGCCATCCATCTAGCTTTGTTTCCATATCCATATTTAAATGAAGACATAATTTTGAATATAACATTTCAACTGATTCATCAGCATTCTTTGAAATTTTGCTTTTTTTTTCTAAAATGATAAAAAACAATTATTGACATTGATTTAAATAAAAAAAAAAACTTACATTAATAAATCAAATAAATCAAAATCTATTGAAGAATACATTTGAAATTGTTTTTATTTGTAATTCCTTTTTCAATTTCATAGATGCCTGCGTTCGTTTGTTGACAGATTATTCTAACGACGATTCAATCATATTTATATTGGTGTACATTTAGATTTGTTTTTTCTCTATCGTTTGTGTTTTTTCCCAAATCGATTCAATCGACGAATGAATTATTATTTGTTTGACTTTGCTCATTGAAAGGTCATCATCTACGACAAAAAAAACACAAGAAAATCACCAGTAATACTGGTTTTTTTTTGAATTCAATTGATAATATCAGTCAAACCAACAAAGATTAGCTTGA